GGAACCTCTGGCACAAAGCCCCTTGTCTCTAAAAGTCTGTCTGTGCTGTAATAGTATGAGAAATCCGTGTCCGTTATTTAGTTTTGACAATCTCACCTTTGTTGTGGCTGTATGATATGTCTGATTCTAGTGTCCCTGGTGGCAGCAGAGGGAATAACAATCAAAATAAATAATTAAATCTGTGTATTTCATCATTTATTTTCTTTTTTAAGGGATTTTAACTTCATAACTGCCTTCTCTTTTGATTTGGTGGTAGTTTCTCAGAGGTCTTGGTTGAGTCTGCATTTTGGTCTCTCAGAATAACATAACACACACATATAAAATGATGTATATGTTGGACTTGGAACCTACCATCTCGGACTGGTTTTGCCGCAGGTTGTGTGTGCTGAATTTCTTTCAGCAGTTGCAAAGTAAATTATTGGAATCCTTGGTGGATTTCTTTTGAATTTGAGTGTGTCGCCTCAAACACTTAACCTGGCAAGAGCCAGATTGATGATTGTGTAGAACTCTAATGCGTTCTCCACAATATCAATCTGGAACTTCTGCAGGAGAATCCTTTTGGGGAAAGGAGGGATAAGCAGCAGAATACTTCAAGCTGATTGGGCGAAGTGACGCTGTGTGCCCGCCTACCAAAACCCGTAGGTAAAAATGCACAAACATCTTTGCCGTCCAGAAATGCACAAAGCGCCTCTCGCTGTTCATCTTTCAAAAAAGAAATTGGAGATTCTGCTAAAACTGACTTGATAGCTTCAGCTACGCGTCCGTCCTCCTGCGTAGCCATGTTTGTTTTGCTTCGGCCCGGCACTTCTTGCTTTCGTCAAACCCGGATATCCCGCCCTAAACCCCCAGACTGGCGCGTGATTGGCTTGAACACCTAGATGTTCTACTCAAAAAGGGTTGGCGGGAGCGGGACAAGATGTATTCTCGAGTGTTTGTGAACTCACAAATACCGCGAGAATTCAGCTTGCAGGCAAGGTTATCAAACACTCAACTTGAAGAAAATTACGCACAAGAAAAGGACTTATCTGTAGAGAGAGAAACACAATACTTTTTTTTACAATGCCCCAGCTTTTCACAAGACTAGAAATACTGTCATAGATAATCGGTGGCTGAGTGGTTAGCGCCCTTGCTGAGAAGCGAGAATCCCGGTCGCAACAGGGCCTTTCTGAGTGGAGTTTGCATGTTCTCCCAGTGTCTGCATATAGGTTTCGTCCGGGTGTCCTGTACTGGCGACCGCACTGCCCACAACTGTACAGTACTTTGTGACTCTGGTCTGTGAAAGGCGCTATAGAGATAAAGATTTATTACTTACTTAATCACTGTACATTAAAAAGAACGATAAAAATGTAAAATCCCTCACTTTCAGGACGATTGTTCCAGATTTTAGCAGCATAAATCGCAAATGCAGCCTTCCCCAGTTTAGTCCAGACTCTGGGCATTTGGAGCGGCCACTTCTAAAACTATTGTGAAACTCATTTACACACTAAATCTTGCACCTGGAGCAGCTGACCTTTCCTGATATGAAAACAAACCGTGTGTTTCCATGTATCTGTACTGAAGTTCATTTTCCGGTCGAGAGGCAACGATGGAGTCAAAAAGTAGCATTTATTTACAAAGCAGCGGTCTTATCCTTGAGGCCAAACCGAGTAAATATCACCGGTGCATGGACCTATTAGCAGCTTCTTGCAGAGCTACTGAAATATCGCTTAGGGCTTGTTATGTCAAAACATGTGCAACCCATAAATGTCTCGTGAATTATTCATTGAGGAAGGTTTTTATCAGATTGAGGCTGAAACATTAAAGATTGAAGGTGATTTTAAGGCCGTGTTTAGTGCTTAATCTGAGGTTTATCTTTCTCTCCTGAAGCTGGAAACACAAAGTGGTCGGGCCTCAGAGTGACCCGGGGAACACACGCGTGAATTGAGTTCATCGGGGGTGGACCGTGAATAATTAATGTAGTACTGTATGGAAACATGAATATTCAGACTGCTGTGGTGGAGTCAAACAATCTGAAATAAAACACTTTGGAACGAAAACAAGTGCAAGGGACACTGCTGTTTAATGTTCGATTTCTAAACTAATGCTAAGAACACAGGCATCAGACTGGGGGGGTAAAGGGAACCCAATGCAGGGAGGGGTGTGTCTGTATATAAGTATTACGCATTAATACAGTGGGGGCCCATCGAATGTGTTTGTACCGGGGCCCAGAGTTTGGTGCTCCCCCCCCCCCCCCCCCGGCTAAGAACAATCTAACTTTAATTTACCATTATTTATCTGCAGAAAAACAACTACAACACTGTATTTTTAATGTATTTTCTTTATTACTGATTTTCTCCATTGTGAGATAAAAAAGTACATCTCATCCTATTTTTAACTGTTCAAAAAAATCTGGTTTATTTTAAGTGCATTGTTTTTTTATCGCACTTTACAGGACACTCTAAGACGCTTCACATGTCATTCATTCACTCTAAACACGGTGGTGATAAACTACTACTGTAGCCACAGCTGCCCTGGGGCACACTGACAGAAGCGAGGCAACCAGTCTGTGCCATCAGCCCCTCCCACCACCACCAGACTCATTCTAATGTGGGGGAAGTGTCTTGCCTAAGGACACAAGCCGCAGCAGGACACAGCAACAGCAGACATCAGTGGGAGTCAGGGGAGAAAGTTTTGTGGTGGGATTGAACCCACAACCTTCAGGCTCAAAGGCCAATGCTCTACAGCTGAGCCGTTGTGATGATAAACCACTTCTGTAGCCACAGCTGCCCTGGGGCTCGCTGATCAGCAAGGCAACCAGTTTGACCCCTCCAACCAGCCATTCAACCCACACCCTCACTCATTTTATGGTAAAGTGTCTTGCCTAAGGACACAACCGCCGCACACTGTATTGGAAATGAACAACAATTAACTCATGTGTCTGACGGCATAGTAACTTTTCAGAGATAAGGTGTCTTTGAGCCTGAAGGTCGCTGGTTCGATCCTACTTCTAGACTCTCTCCACCCACTACTCTCTTCTGTCGTTGTGTCCTTGGGCAAGACACGTACCCCTACTTTGCCTAATTGTGACCATACTTGCATGCTAAAGCCAGATCCCGTCAGACCTGGTTAGTGCTGTGATGGGAGACCTCCGGGAACAGCAGGTGCCACAGTGGGGCGGCTGCGGCTGTAAAGTGCTGAACTGCCATTGTGTCCTTAGGCAAGACATTTCCTCCACATTATAATGAGTTTCTGGTGTGTGTGAATGGTTGGTGGTGGTGGGAGGGGCTGATGTGGTAGTAGTTTATCAGCACTGTGTTTGGAGTGAAAGAATAATGACATATGAGGAGACTTTGAGTGCTACATCAAAAACCAACGCATTTTTATTATTATTATTATTATTATTATTATTTGTCAATGTAAAAGGAGAGACAGAATAGGGTCAAACTCCAACCTGTAATTGGTTCATTTGCAAATTTATTAAAACAGCAGTTTCAAAACATTGAGTTTGAATAAAACACTTTTAAAAGCTGCATATTCTGCTCCTCACACTCACAAAAACAAGGCGTATTTTTGCAGAAGCCAATTAAACAAATTTGCAGAATTATACTTTTTCTCAGTTTGTGATTCAATAGAAAGGTGTCAAAGATATGTGTATTTTTAAGAGCTGATTTTTAGCATATTTTAATTGTTTTCTTCTGCACCCTCTGCTTCGTTCTACACAGTATGTCTAGTAATTAAAAACAAAACAAACATGCAACTTAGCAAGAAGCCAATTACGAAAACCACTTCTCCAGACTGCATCTTGTGGCGTTTCAGAGCAGATGGTTTTAGCGGACATAAAAACAACAACAAATATTCAGTGTCTAATTCATAGCGGTAAATATTGACTCAATCTGTCAATCAAACGTCCTCCGATGGCCCTTGTCCAAGACCTAATACATCAGACCTAATATACAGTATGTGTGTTGATTTTTAGTGCTGCCGTTAAAGTGATTACCGTAAAATAAAAAAAGTATGATTTTTTTTCTTTTAAAGAGCAATCCTCATCAGATAGAAATTAATGCCAAGATTCAGACTAAACCATGGGGTGTTCAAACTTTTTCCACCTGCATATTGGAGCTTATCTCAGGAAGAGGGCCATAATCTGGTGTGATTACCGCTAATTGGGTTTGTCCACACTAAAGGGCACAACAGTGTGACAAAACGCCAAACATTCGATTTTAATAATCAGAAGATATTTAATGTTTTTCATGTGTTCAAATCCCTCCTCTGTTCGTTAGAAGCTGCTAGAACAAAACTGTTTTATACTTTAGACAAGTTTCCTAAAGTGGCCCTGTTTATTTTATCCAATGTTGATGATTTGACGGAATGAGCTGAAGTTTGTGTATTTTCAGATCCACATTTGATTCAGAGATTCTTTTTTTTACACAAAGTAGAAACAAAGTGATTCTTTCATAGTCAACCAATTAAATGTGAAACCAGACCAGATTTTTTTTTTTCTCAAGTTTAATTTTTAGAGAAAAATGGAAGGAAAAATCAAGTCTGTTACACATTTATTTATGTATTTATTTTTTAAACGATTCCTTTTTAAATGAAGTGATCTCCTGATGTTGTGTTAATGTTAATCTTGTGGAGTTCATCTGCCACTTTTTCAGACTGAGGACATTTTATTTTCTATGTAACCAGCGTCACAGTAGAACGGTCCAATCAGAGGCTGATCTGGTCGTTTAAAATGTCGCCAAAAATATATTTGTCAATCTTTTCTTTTGGTTTTATCCACACTATCTCTTCAATGTGTCTGTGTTTGAAATCTGTTTTCCAATCTATGAAAGTCATTTTAGTTTTTGAGTTATAACCTTTTAAAGTCCAGATACTTTGATTGACACTTTACTGTGAACACACTCAATTTTGAGAAGAGTGACATAAGCACATTGCCAATGAGCTTCCATACTTTCATATTATGCTAGTAAAAAAATGCACTGTTTGTTGTTGATATTATGACTGTACAACGAGTAAAGAAAATGCATTCCAGTGTTGTGGGCCAACAGAAACAGTCTGAGGGCCGCATGTCGCACTTGGGCCATACTTTGGTCGCTCCTGGATTAAACTATAGCTTTACTGGTGCATGTACTTTCACTTGTTTGTGCTCTCTTCTGCCCCCTGCAGCCGTCGCCGTGCGAGTGGTGCCGCTGTGAACCAAATAACGAGGTGCACTGCGTGGTGTCGGACTGCGCGGTGCCCGAGTGCGTGAACCCCGTGTACGAGCCGGAGCAGTGCTGTCCCATCTGCAAAAACGGTAACTTTCCCCAACTTTGCTCCATCCCCGGTACATGCCTGCGGTGCCCTCAGAGGATTGGGACGTAATTGATGTTTTATGAATTAAAATGATTACCCTGGGCCCATTGGACGCTAATGAGCAGGACTAGTTTTAATTATAAATGACACAGTAAGCAGAGTAAACATTAGCCCATTGATTAAAGGCTAGAAAGGACTAATGGGTCCGCGGGGACTCTTTTATCTCCTGCTGCCCTGATGCCCTTGTCACACACAGCCAATCTCTAAATTAGAATTATAGGATTCCGATCGTTCATTGGCTATTTACAAGGCGATTTGTGTATTTGTGTGCGGTGTGCCTTTGCTAGTGCCGATGCCATGGGACAATTAAAGTACAGTACAGCGACGGTTCATCCAATCAGCTACAGCAGCCCGCTCCCAGATGAAATCAAAGATACAGCAGAGTATAGTGGCTTAAAAATCAAAGATGTCCAAACTCAGGCTCGAGAGCCAGTTGCGGCCCGCTGCGTCCTGTTATGTGGCCCTCTGCCTTGCTAATCTAAATGACCATTAAGATTACAGAAAATAACAATAATAATAATAATGTATTGGTTTTATATAGTGCTTTCGGGACACTCAAAGGTGCTTCACATGTTATTATTCTTTCACTCCAAACACAGTGGTGATAAATGTCACACCTATGGACATGTCATACGCCGTTTACACTTCAAAATAGACCAATTCCAGTCAAAAAATAGTTTTAAAATCCGTGTTATCGGCCCCTGGACCATTGCTGGCCCTCTTACTAAAAAGTTTGGACACCCCTGCACTAAGATGAGGAAATGGTCAGCATATTTTCCTTCTTTTTGAGTCACTGTATCTACTTTCAGCTTGGAAATGAAATTTACCACACCTGAATCACTCGGTTGTAGCCACTTGTACATCAAACCGCATATAATAAAAAACACTAAAAACCATTATTTTCTTCAATTTAGAGAATCAAAACAAGAGAAAAATGACAATGCTCTCTTCAAGGAGTCAGCACAAAAGGGTCAAGCACTTTAGTGTTGACTTTAAATTGGATGATCTAGCACTTTGTAGCTTTTTTGGTCACCCTGAAAATGTCTGCACACATATTCAAATGTGTGTGGGATATGAGCATTTCCACACGGTCATGCACATGTAAACATCTACATCAGGCTCTGTTTAAATGGTTATAACATCAGCTCAGGAACTACGGGTGGACATTAGAATCTTTGCTATAACCTGCTAATGTTGTTCAAATAAAGTACATGCCATACCATACCATGCCATGCCATACCATACCATACCACACCATACCATACCATACCATACCATACCATACTATACCAAACCATTTGACTCTAGTCAAGACATAATATACCGTCTATAAAGTCAAGTTGAATCTACTGTTGTCACGTGAGCGATAAATCTGAACCTCTTCATATCAGAATAAAGAGACAAAGTACAGCCCTTGAATCGACCAAAATGAATAATTTGACATTGAAAAGGTTTTATTTTCCATATTCAGGCCGGTTAAAAAAGTGCGGATGGATAAAAAGAACAGATAGTGCTATCAATGGTTTGAAAGTGCTTCATGTAATCGCACAATCAGTGTGATATCTGCCAAGAAATGTTGAGTTCAGGGCCCGGCTTTTCTCTTAAAAACTAATAAGACATTGGTTTGAATACTGACCCAGTTATTTACAAATCTGTGGCATTTATTTTTACTTACTACAATTAGAAATGGTAATGAAGTTGTTTTGTTCTTGTGATATGTTTGCTTAATCCAACCTATTCTTAATCTTTTTTATATTCTCAAAATGCAATATCTCTAGTAAGAAAAACCAGAGAAATCACAATATGCAATCACAGTTCTGAAAATGTTAAAGGTGACACACAAACAAGTCAGCCGTGTCTTCCAGGAAATGTAGCGCAGACAGGATTATTATACCTCTGGTTGTTTTTGTCATTACTTTTGGAGCTGGAATCGAAAAACAGCTCTTTAGAAAGCAGCGAAAACACCCGCGCATATTTCTCATCTGCAGCGGCTGACCTATAAAAAGAGAATGATTTTTCCGTGACTCTGAAAAACCGTTTGAGTGCAACAGCCAAGATTTTCATTCACACTTTCTCTCATTCACTTCCTGCTTTTATTCCCTTACAAAAACACACACAAGTGCCCCACACGAACCCACGCTAACAAGCTGCTCGTACGCCGCTAATCCAGGCTGACAGCGTACAGTGACACCCGTGGAATTTCAGGGAAGGGCCGGCCGCTCGCTGCCTCCCTAAGGGCCCCCGGTCAGGCTCCAGCAGACACACAGCGCCGTGTGGGAGGGGACTGGAGGAGCACACGACCTGACTTGGAGATCCCATTTTCAGCCGAGGGACCGAAGAAAGCCAGGGATCTATGCACGAGGCTTTCCATGAGGGATATACAACAGGACAGCTAAAGAGCTAAAGCCCGGGATGTCTTCATAGGAGCTAAGTTAAAATACCCGGGCTGGTATTTCCAGAATGATGTCACAAAAACATTGATAATAGTAATACATTGGATTTATAACATTACATTTACTATAACCAAATACGTTTAACTTTGCATCATTAATTCACTCCGACAAACTAGTATGGTAGAAATGAGGCGACCTGTACGTGCCGCTGGCCACACCGACCGCCAACAAGCATTCACTCACGCACCAATCTCATACTCGGGTGGGTGAGGTGTCTTGCCTAAGGACACAATGACCATTTGGCACTTTACATCCTCACTTTAGTCCACTGTGGCACCTGGTGTTCCCAGAGGTCTCCCATCACAGTACTAACCAGACTCTGTCCAGCTTAGGTTCTGCCTAATGGGATCTGGCCCACACACATAAACACTTAATTTTGAATGAGTCTATATCATATACTAGTTTCACATTTAAGATGCATTACAGACAAAATACAACTATTAAACAATATTCTCATTTTTCGAGTTTCACCTGTTTATAAAAATAAGTAAAAAAGTAAGTAATTCATGATTATTTATATAGCGCCGTTCACAGACCAGTCACAAAGCGGTTTACAACAGTTGTTTACATTTGTCGCTGACTCCACACAGAGATGGGGGCGGGGCCAGTACAGGAGGCACAGACCTGTTGTGCATGTTTTTAGTGGTAGGGGAAACCGGAGCACCTGGAGGAAACCTACGCAGACACAGGCAGAACGTACAAACTCCAGTCAGAAAGCCCCTGTTCCGACCAGGATTCAAACCCAGAACATTCTTAGTGAGAATTGAGATTGCTAACCACTCAGCCACTGAGCTGGGTCACTTACTCGTAAAAGCAGCTTGGTAAGTTAGAGCCTTTTCAGTTAGAGCTATATGTTATTGAGACATCCACGTTTTCGTTTTGTGCATTTCAAGCTAAAAAAACGCCACAAAAAACAGCAGCAACACGGGCCAAAGAGACGCACAGCTCAATAAGTCAGCGAGCCGGTGGGAGGCGTTATCTCCCCGCCACAGTCCTGGGATTAGTCTCATGTTTCAAGTTTATTCTCATAATATTTTCACTTTGTTCCCATAATGTTCTGATTTTCTTCTCATAATATTCTGCCTTTAATCTCATGGCGTCTGGCAAAAGAAAAACCGTGTGACCCCTATGCTCTGTCGTACAATCTCTTTCTACGTGAAGTTTTTTTCTAGGCCGTTTTCCTTTCAATAGTCGCAAAAACAGGGCGTGAAACAGGCAGTTTCTACATGTTTGCATAAATACTTACATAAATACGTTCGTTTTCAGCCGCTGCATTTATCCACAGCTACAGGTGCCTCCGCTCGGATCTGGGCGGATCTCACACCTTCATTAATCCCACGTTGGATCTTGCAAATTTGGAATCTACACCCAAAATATATACACCCTTTTCTGTGCAGCTTTCATAATCGAGGGCCAGTGACACATTTAAGATGCATTACTAATATGATACAACTGTTGAGTTTCACCAAGAGTCCCTTCCTCTTGGCCTGTGCCGTTTTAAAGACATAAAAGCAGCTTGGTAAGTTATAGTCAGTGAAGCAAGATCCTGATCCAGGCCACATTTATGGTGGGAGGACTCGGAGCCCATCCGATCCCTGTATGACCAGAGCCAGAGCTGTGTTCGCATTGCCGGCAGTAAGTCAGACCTGTTCCCGGTGAATGTTGGCCTCCGACAGGGCTGCCCTTTGTCACCGGTTCTGCTCACTGTATTTATGGACAGAATATCTAGGCGCAGCCAGGGGCCGGAGGGGGTCCGGTTCGGAGACCACAGGATTTCATCTCTGCTTTTTGCGGATGATGTTGTCCTGTTGGCTCCAACGAACCAGGACCTGCAGCATGCACTGGGACGGTTTGCAGCCGAGTGTGAAGCGGCTGGGATGAGAATCAGCACCTCCAAATCCGAGGCCATGGTGCTACACCGGAAAAAGGTGCCTTGCCCTCTTCAGGTGGGTGGAGAGGTCCTTCCTCAAGTGGAGGAGTTCAAGTATCTCGGGGTCTTGTTCACGAGTGAGGGGAGGATGGAGCGTGAGATTGACAGGCGGATCGGTGCAGCGTGCGCAGTGATGCGGTCGCTGTATCGGACCGTTGTGGTAAAGAGGGAGCTGAGCCGAAAGGCAAAGCTCTCGATTTACCGGTCAATCTTCGTTCCCTCCCTCACCTATGGTCATGAGCTTTGGGTAATGACCGAAAGAACGAGATCGCGGGCGCTGGGCGCTCCCTTAGAGATAGGGTGAGGAGCTCAGTCACACGGGAGGAGCTCGGAGTAGAGCCGCTGCTACTCCACGTCGAGAGGAACCAGTTGAGGTGGCTCGGGCATCTGTTCCGGATGCCTCCTGGACGCCTCCCTGGGGAAGTGTTCCGGGCACGTCCCACCGGGAGGAGGCCCCGGGGAAGACCCAGGACCCGCTGGAGGGACTATGTCTCTCAGCTGGCCTGGGAACGCCTTGGGGTCCCCCCGGACGAGCTGGAGGAAGTGTGTGTGGATAGG